AAATGTGACTCCATTTTGTGAATGTGGGACCAGAATGACTCCATTTTGTCCAAAATGGAGCAGTCTCCTTTGTTCTTTCAAATTAATGATTAAATGTGCTTAATCTGGGACAAAAGACATGATCTGTAACTCAAGATTCTTAAGCTCATGACTCAGCCATCTGTTTGCCCTAGAAACAAGTGTCCCAGGCCCACTATCTATAGGACAATCTGTTAACGTGCTGACTATCCACACAAGGTGGTCATGACCATGAGTTAAGATGTCTGCTGACCATCAGTACGTGACAGTGGGCCACTAACCTTTGTCCCCATTTTTCTTGTAAAAACCTATACGTAATCCCCTTCAACCCCCAATGAGCCTAGCCAATCAAAATTCTACACTTCATACTTGCTAAATGTTAACCAATCATATGGCTGCTAATGACCGAAGCTTGCTGTAACCTCTATAAAAACCTTGCTAATTTGGAACTCGGGGCTCTCAATCTCGATCCGCTGTGTCGGTGACAGTTGAGAGTCCCTGCTTAAGCTTGAATAAATGACCCTCGTGTGCTTACATCGGAAACGGCCTCCTGGTGGTCTTTGGGACTTCATAAACTGGGCACAACACAGGAATGTTTCCAGCAGGACTTAGCAGACCTCTCTCTCTCTCTTCTCTCAAGGGGAGAGGTGAGAGAATGTTTAAGGACTAAGACCCTGAGCTCCTCAGTCAAAATCACTCCAAATCCCAAATCTACTGGCTTTGTAAGTTTGGGAAGGTTCTTTACCAGGGGCCCATTTCTTCATTTGTAAAATGTGAATAACTGTATCACCTTGTAGCTTCATGTTGAGGATTGAATGAGATAAACATGCCATGTGCTCAGTAGAAGAGTGTGGGCACTTTAAAGAGTGTTAACTCTAAAGAGGGCAGCCCAGGGCCAGGAGGATGTGTGTGGAACCAGCTTCAGGGCACTGGCCAACCTGAGAGAGTAATCTGTCCTCAGAGAAAGCCAGCACAAGAGTGAACTGAGTGACAATCCACTCTTCCTGTAGCTTAGCTATACCATTCAATAACTTCTCCTTGTTTAAAATTTAAGTTGCTTTCAGCTTGATTTATGTTCAGGGCACCTAAAAAGCATCTGAGTAGCATTTTTTTAAAAGCAAAATTATACTTAAAAATACATCCATAACGCATTTCCTTAATTATAAAATCTATCCATTGAAATAATGCTAGAGTTCTTTGGCTATTTCTTTATTGTTCCTTTCCCCTAAAATCACTTGCTAAGTTTTTGAAAAGTACAAGCCAAGCTGGAAGAGGCTCCATGAAGGAGGCGTCAGGATGGGACAGTGATAGGAGTTACAGGGATGGACCTTGGGCAGAACATCATGGTCCCCATATCCTAAGAACCTCCTGAACCCTCAACTGATGAAAACTCGGGTAAGAACCCAAATTCAGGATCCCAAATCGTATGCAAAATCAGAGGGACAGAAACCAAATATAAACGCCAAGAAAATAGGAAGGGGCCCACTTTCATCTCTAAGATTCAACGCTGTTGTAGGAGAACAAAAGCCATAAATCATATGTATAAATAAGAAGAAAGCATTATAACTACTTACAAATTGTTTGTTTTGTTTTCTTTTTCTTTTCTTTTCTTTTTTTTTTTTTTTTTGTACCAGGGATCGAACTCAGGACTTTGCGCTTGCAAGGCAAGCACCAGAACCACTAAGCTAAATCCCTGGCAAAATTGTTTTGACTCTATACTTGGAAAAATCAAAGAGAATTGAGTTTTTAAAACTTTGTTAAAATCAATAGAATTCAACAGGTGGCTAGCAATAAACATATGAAAATATGATATAGGAAAATCAGTAGCTTACTATATATACAACTAATCTGAAAATACAAAGAAAATCCATTTAAATACCAATCCAAAAAAGCTAAGAGTAAGCCTAATAAAAAATATGCAAAATCTATATGAAGAAAAATGTTTAAATTCTAACGAGAGCCTTACATAAGTTTTTAAAAGCCAAGCAGAGGATAAGGCAGAGTGGGAGAACTGACATATGGTGCCTGAGACTAGAGATCAGAGGAAGCAGATAAAAGAGAAGCGTTGGAGAGAAAGAGGTGGAAAGCCAAAGCCTGGCCATCGGCTGCAGCGCCTTCCTCGGTTCCCTGGGCCTGGGCATGGGTGAGCAGGAGATGATGTTCCTGCTCACTAAAACCAAGGGAAAACCTGAATAAACTCTCTAGCCGCACTTGCTTTTAGTTATAGCTTTTATCACCAATTTTAGAGGTCATAACCAAGCAACCTATTACCATTAGCTTTGCTAAAATAGCACCTCTGCCATGTGGATCATGATGCTAACAGCTGCCTAAGTTGTTTTCTGGGAACTTAGAGGCAGCTCGACCCAGCTGAAACTACCAATCCTTCACTTGGGCCTGCATAAGTGTCCAGTGGGTGGCATTGTGATGTCAGAGGATCCAAATTCCAACCTCAGAGCATGTTAATGCCATAGTTTTCTGAATGCACATCCATGAAGAGCCATGAAGTACGATTACACACATGCAGACCACTGACCACTTCATTTTTCTTCATCTCCATGCACATTTCCCAGGTCTTAGGCCACTCTGCTTCAAGGTCCCATAAATATCCCTAAACCCTATCCTAGGGCAACCTTATTTGAGCTTATTTTCCCATCTCCCCCAGTGAAAAATGCTTTCTTTTTTGCAAAATGCATTCCTTCGATGATTGGCCTACTGCACAGTGGGCAAAACAGGCCTTGTTGACTAACACCACAACCCATTTCTGAGGCGTCTTTTCTCTCCTGGAGTTGCATTACACTCCAGGCCCCCAAGATTTAAAGGCAGCCCTGGGGACTGACCAAGCCAGCAAAGATGGCCCCCGGCAGAAGAGACAATATTGTTAGCAGAAGTGGGTCCCTATTCCAACGAAATGAAAATCACTCCACCACTCGAAGTTCCCAGTTCACAAAGGATGTTCACTTTCATGCGTCTGTATGTTGCTCCTGGCTTCCTTGAAAGAGAAGAAACTCATGGCAAATATCCATTTGCACAGCTGTCCGAAGATTCACCTGGGTAACCCAATTCCCCGGGTCACAGGTGGCTCACTAGGTGGCAGATCCTTTTGTTACTGGACAGTTGGCCTCAGCCTCACCAGATAGCCAGGATCTTTGTACCCTAAACAAAATGTTGAGCAGGACACATAGAACTATTAAGAAAGGCAGAGATTTATTAAAGAAAAAGTACAGGGTCAGGGATTTAGCTTAGTGGTTCCAGCTCCTGCCTCACAAGTGCAAGGTCCAGAGTTCGATCCCTGGTACCAAAAAAAAAAAAAAAAGAAAGTACACTCCAAAGAGTGGAGTTTGACTCAGGGAAGCATCTGTTTTAGATTTGAAGTTAAAGTACACACAGGGAATTCCAGCACCCAGAGATAGCACCTGGCAGTAATGAAAGCACACCCTCAAGAAGGGAAGGCTGGCAGAGCTGAAGATGACAATTGCAGTGAGCTCCAGGGTTAGCTTTACTTTTATTTTCCTCGAATTTGGAGAGTGGTCAGAGGTGGTAACTAATGGCTTCTTCTCACTCAACTGTAAATCTCCATCCTCAAGTAGGGGGGAGTTTGTGAACTTGTAGGGGCCTAAACAGAACCTGTGTAGCTACCAAAGCCCACCAGGGGGATCAAAAGCAAAATGTTGATGACATTGGAATGATGTGCGGTTACTCTAAAGCAGCTAGAACTCATGTTCTGCAAGCTCATGCCAGAGGTCAAGGAAGTGTGATAAGGCAGGAACATATTTTTCAGGCTCATGTCAGGACGCTATGGTGAAGATATAGAAGCATATTTCTCAGGTTTATGTCAAGATGTTAAGGAAATACGATGAGAGCAGGATGGTCTTGTGATCTCCAAAACTCAGAAGGCATCTTGTCTGTTGTGAGCCTAGGATGTCTCCCACACTGTCTCCTGCCTCACTTTCCAGGTAATAATTTTATGACTTTCAGCCACACACATACTGTATGAACATTAAATTATTTTAAATAAGAGCAGGACAAGAATTCAAATCTTCCAGTACAAGGCAGCTTTCCTTCCACAGCACTCAGTAAACAGCTTGATAAATACACATCTGCTCATTTGATATGGAAGGTATCAGAAAAAAGCACAGTAATTGTCCATCCTTATCCAGTTGCCTGAAAAGCCCTGCCTTCACTCATTTCTTCTGGCTGAAAGTACTGAAACTTTCCTTTAAAATGCAAATATCATCCAGGAAGATTAACATATAAATCATTGTCTTTCGTTAATCCCACAGAACAAAGCACTTCATCAAATACTAATTTTTCTCCATGCTATGCTAACTTGGAGCATGTCTAGACACTGAATAGAATGGGAATAGGAAACTACCAGGACACCTGTGTTCTGGCCTGTATGTTTTCACCTGAAAAACAAAGAGGGATGGAGTTGGTTACCTATAAAATCCCAAAGTCCAGTGTCGTCTGCAAGATCTCAACATGCCCCCCTAGTTCATATGTTAAAATTTAATCACCATTGCAATTGAGGGGTGGGGCTTTTTAGGAAGTGATTAAGTCATGAGAGCAGAGCCTTGGTGAATGGGACTAGCCATGTTTTAAAAGGTGTGAATAGATACGCCTAGAGGACAAGATTTTAAGTGAAATAAGCCACACCCAAAGGACATATATAGTACGTTCTCACTCATATGTGGAAGCTTAAAAAGTTGATCTCAGGCCAGGGATTTAACTCAGTGGTTTCGTCACCTGCTGTGCAAGCACAAGGACCCAAGTTCGATCCCCGGTACCAAAAAAAAAAAAAAAGTTGATCTCAGCCAAATTCTGTGGTGTGCACCTGTGATCCCAGTACTGTAGAAGGCTGGGGCAGGATGATCATGAGTTTGAGGCCATGCTGGGCTACATAGCAAGTTCAAGGCCAATCTAGAACATAGGGAGACCCTGTCTCAAAAAACAACAACAAAATGTTGATCTCACAAAAGTAGACAATAGAATAGTGGTTCCCTGGAAAAAGGGGAGAGGGGTGAGAAGTTAGAAACAGGTACCAAAATACAGTTAGAAGGAACAAGTTCTAGTGTTCTATAGCACAGAGGTGAATGTAGTTTACAACAATTAATATATTTTAAATGGGCAGAAGAGAGGATTTTAAATGTTCCCCACACGAAGAAATGACAAGTGTTTGAGGTGATGGAAATACAGGTTACTCTGATTTGATCATTGTGCACTGTGTACATATACCCAGATATCACACCATAAATATGTACTATTTTAAAAATAAAATGTGATATTGCTACTCACTCTTTCCCTTGATCGTGGCCTCTCGAGAACTATGAGAAATAAATTTCTGTTGTTTCTTAATTACCTGGTCTAAGGTATAGTATTACGACAGCCCAAACCGACTAAGACCCCTGATTCCATCAGGGGTGAACTCAACCTTGCACATGTGCCTTGGGACTGCTGTCTCAATAAAGTCCAGCTCCTTTCCCATCCCTGGCATTTTAATCCAAATCTCTTTGTTCTATTAGGCAGCTGTTTAGAACTTTTTATTCATTTAACAGGTGGGCCTTTTTTAAGTTCTCATTTAAAATAATTTGAGATTCAAGCAGTACGCATGCAGTTAAAAGTCATAAAATTATTCATCAGAAAGACCTCTTCTTTTCTCTTGGATACCAATTGAAGTGAGCTGTGGTTCCCCTGAGCAAAGCTCACTGCCTATAAAGTCCCTTTTCAGCAATGCTTTGCCACCAGCACTAAATTGAGTTATTCCGACAGCCTTTGATGCTCTGCACTTATTTTTTCCTAACTGTGCATAAGGAAGCTGAGCAGCCACATAATTTAATTCTTCAAGATTTACTTTTTAATCACCAGGGTGGTTCTTGAAGGGTAGAGAGAGTTGACCCCATTTCCTCAAGTTGAAATTGATTTAGGTCAAATAATTCTTAGAATCTGAATTAAGTATTTTTCTCTTTATCACATGAACTTCAAGCTTCATTTTCCAGCAGCTGGGAATCTGTGCTTCCTAAGGATGACAGATGATTTGAGGAAACATGGGCAAAGAGGGTATTCAAAATTTGTTGAATTCTAGAGACAGAATTCTCCGTGACAATCTGAATTGGTGTCGAGGTACAATTGTCCGACTCTAGCCTCTGACACCATCCTTTCCGGCACTGCGCTCCTCTGAAGGAATTATCTGCTTGGATTACAAGTGCTGTGACATCCAAATGTGTGTCTCCATATTGTAAACATATTCCATATATCACTAAAAAGAATGGGAAGGGGATGGGGGAGAGAGAACAGCGTGGGGCAGGATGGATGTGGTAGTTCCCAGAAAGGTATTCCACTTAATTTTCTGGACTTCCCAGGCCAGATGACCCCTCGGGTCTGGAATAGAAGCAGGCTCCCTTGCTCTCTGCCTGAGCACATATATACCACACCCGGGCCAGAGATGAAACTGACCGCTCTGCTTCTCTCACTGTGATGTTCTGCACACTGACTTCATTCTTTGACCTGAACGGTGTGCCTGCTTCTCTGAACTCATGGATAGTTCCTTTCAATGACCACGTATGATGCAGGCTTACTAATTTTGCTGTTTGAATTGCCCATGGGGGCTGTTCCTCTGTAGAGAGTCACCCCATGCTACCACCATTCCCCGTTCTTTCATATGTAATCTGTGTGTCTTATCTGGGTGGAAGGGAAAGTCTCCTTCTGGTTAAGCTTGACTATGTCAGTTTGATTGGCTTGGGAGCCACCCAGGGGATTAGGAAAGCACACTTCTGAGTGGGTCACGAAGGTGTGAAATTAGGGACTCTACCTGATCCCAGGCCCCTGCCTCTGCACTGTTCCCCTGCTCTGCTGCCCCACTGCCATCCGCTGAACATCTGTGTCCTGCCATGCCCTTCCACTATGATGTTTCTCCTTTAGAGCTAGCCAACCATGGACTGAATCCCTTAAAACCAGGAACCAAAGTAAACTCCTTTAAGTCGTGGGTGTTGGGTATTGTGTCTCCGTGTCAGGAAGGCTAATACACCCTGCGTCGACCCTCTGGCCACGGGTAGAGTTGCCTGTGCCAGCCGCTGTGAGACTCAACACCACCGTAAACTGCCACGGACAGCAGGGGATTAGGGGAAGGGAGAATTGGCAATGGCGAGAACACCTGACCTGAGAAGTGCACTGTGTGGTTAGTGTGACCATGAGTTCTTTCAACAAATGCATTTAAGTTAGTTGTTTTCTGTATCCAGGTTTATGTTTTGATACTTTAATAAAAAGACGAATGTGTATTTACCATAAGTCACTTGGTTGATCTTACTTCACATCTGAAGGAGAAGGGAAGCTGAGGAGGGTAGGCGGGGGTCCGGGGGTGTAAATGCAGATGCAGGAGCCACCAGGATAATTAAACACCGGCCTTCAGCTGCCTCCTATGGTGACATCATACTGGCAGGGCCTCGAAGCCCACCCTCCCTCTCTCACTTGTTGCCCTGACATCTATCTTGTCATCTGTTTAAGAATAAAGAGTCTGACAAGGTCTGCCTCGGGGTGGGGGCTTTGGAATTGAGTCCTTCCCATCAAGAAGTAAAGTGGTGGGCCGGGGATTTAGCTCAGTGGTTCCACCGCCTGCCGCGCAAGGAACTGAGTTTGATCCCCGGTACCAAAAAAAACAAACAAAAACAAAAACAAATGAACAAAGAAGTAAAGTGGTAACTGTTTCCCAACTGGATCCTCATCTCTTCCCACAAGCTTTGAATAAACCTTCGCCCCTCAAACCCACATCAAGCTCTCTCTTCTTCCCCATCCCACGCCCCTGAAAGGAGGCCTGGGCAGCATGCCGAGTATCCTGTGTCTCATGGTGACTCTGATTCTGGAAGCTCTTCCAGGTTTCTTATGAAAAACTGCACTCGGGAAGGAATTCCTGAAAAGCACTGCTAAGGACTAATAGTAGCTCACCTTTATCAAATAGGCAATGTGCTAGCACTTTATATACATCACACCATGTGTTAGTTAGCTGTCACTGTAGCAAAATACCTGAGTGAATCAGTGTATAAGAGAGGGAAGGTTTATTCTGGCTCACAGTTTTGGCAGTTCCAGTCAATGGTCAGTTGACCTCATTGCTTTGGCTGTGGGTGCCAGCACCTTATGGTGGGCATGGGTGGCCTAGCAAAACCATTCACGTCCTAGCCAGGAAGCAGGAAAGTAGACGAGGAAGGGGCCAGAGTCCCACAGTCTCCCTCCAGGGCCCCCCCCAGTAACCTAAGCACTTTGCTCGGAGTGTCACCTCCCAAGGGTCCCCTCACCTCCCAACAGCCCCACTGTTGCTGGGACTAAGCCTGTGACACAGACCTTCAAGAGACACTCCAGATCCAAACTGGCATCCCATTCAGTGCTCACCACAGCCGTTACCCCCATCCTGCAGGAGAGTAAGTGGAGAGAGAGATCAGCAGCCTGCTCAAGGTCACACAGTTGAACTTTCTATAACAGAAGCCTATTTTTTAACCATAAAGCAGCCCCTGGGCAGTCACCCCTGTCTCCTCCTCCAGCCCCTGGCTGCCACTTGGCTGTCCTGAGCACCCCATAGACACAGAACCATACAATCTGCGGCCTTTTGTGTTTGGTGTCTTTCCCTTAGCATGCGGTGAAGCTGCATCTGAGTGGAAGCTCACACCAGCACTCTGTTCCTGCTTCCAGCTGAATAACGCTGCAGCAAATGCATACTCTACATCCTGTGTGTCCATCCATCCAGGGAAGAGAGAGAGCCTTTGTCCTCAAGCAGTGACTGAGGTGGGGCTTCAGGCATAACAGTCCCGAGAAGTGAGTCAGGACCAGGACCTTCTCCCAGCTTTCATTATTCTGTGGCTCGCTGAGTGCCATGGCATCAAAGCAGCAGCCATAATGGCACATGCTCCCCGCCAGTGTACATGGCTCCAAACCACTGGGGCATGGCAGGGAAGTTATGACCAGAGGGTGTTTGACAGGATCCTGGAATTTAAACTTACACCTCCAGTCCTGCTCCCACAGCCCAGTATTTCACTGAGTAGAACATGGGAAAACAGAGAGCAAAAAATGGGAGCCTTAAGAGAATAACTGGGCTCCTACACACTGGGTATACATGGAGGGGAGGAACTGAGGGCACCCACTGGGTAATTGAATCCCCAACTCAAAGTCAGAAGTGGTCCTGGGTTCTCCATTACACACACACACACACACACACACACACACACACACACAATTTGTTATGCAACTTCTCATAATGCACCAAACTGCTCTCTTTCGGCAATCAAATCAATCCTCTTTGAACACATTTAACGGGCCCAAGCTCCTTGCAAGACAGAGTACTGCAGCAGTCTAGAACAGAGGTCTTGGATCAGCTGGACCTGGACTTGCAAAATAGCATTAATTTGTGAATGCGGGTAAATGATACAACCTCAGTTTGTTTACCTGTAAAATGAGAACGGTAAGAACAGTATCAACCTCAGTAGGTTCTCACAATAGCATGCAAACCACACAGTACAATGCCTGGGAAAAGCAACCCTTAATTATTAATTTAAATATTAATTACTGAAGGTCAGAATTATTGTTAAAGCTCACAATCGTCTAGATTTACTGAGATCCATGGTAGGCTAAGGAGCAAGACCACCAATTCTAGGTTATCTCATAAAATTAAACCATGATGGTTAAAATCCACCCCATCATCTTACATTTTTATACTTTGTGTAGTTGTTGAATCTTTTTTTTTGTTCTAAGGATTGAACCCCATACTTTACACTGAGCTATATATTGGCCTTTTTTTAAAACATGATTTTTTGAGACAAGGTCTTGCTAAGTCACTAAGTTGTCCAGTCCGGGCTCAAACTTGTGATCCTCCTGCCTCAGCCTCCCAGAGTCCCAGGATTACAGAAATGTGCTAATGTCCCTGGCCAGTTGGTGAATCTTTTAAATTTGGAGTGGACAGGGAAGCATTCATACAAAAATTTCCCTTTTTAAAAAAAAAAAAAGTATTTTGGTGCCTACCTGGGTCCCTGACAGGGTGGGTCCTGACCTTGTGGGGTCACAGGGCGTAGAAACAAAGGGGTGTGTGACAGGGACAGGTCACAAAGGCAGGAGAGGATAAATACAGCTGTGCAGCGCTGCAGACCAAAGTGTTTGCAGCTTTTTCTCCGACTGCAGACTGTAGCCTCCTGGAGAGAGAAACAGTATCGCGACTGGAAGTGAGGGACGCTGATCCGGAAGAAAACCTCCTGGAGGCTTTTTTTCATCTCTGAAGAGAGTCCGTCTGAGGTCCAGACACCCTCCCCGGGCCCTGGTCAGCGCTCCCTGCTGCCACACACACACACACACACACACACACACACACACACCCGCCACCCCACCCCCCGCCTGCTCTCCCGGGGTTCTGAGGCCGGGAGGGGCCTGTGGGCTGGACTGGGGAGGAGAGGCCTGCTGTAGTCACCTTTGGGAAGCAGGATCACCAGAGACCCTTTATCTGCCCAGGACACCAAGGCAGAGGACACAGGGCCCCCTGGCCGGCGCCCCTGTCATGACAGGAGATGGTCATGAACAGTAAGTCTCTATTACCCTGCTATGCAGTCAAGGGCGGCTCTGCGGCCAGCATCTTCGGCACCAGCATGGGGAAGCTGCAGCAGCAGCTGCGCAAGGGCAAGTACTACATGTTCAGGTCTGCCCCGATGTTCGAGAGCGACTTCATCCAGATTACCAAGCGCGGGGAGCTCATAGATGTGCACAACCACATGGACTTGATGACCGTGGGCGTGGCCTGCACCAGCTCCTACCTCCCGATCCCGATCCCGATCCCTGACGTCATGCTCCTGGCCCGGGAGGCCACCAGCTGTGAACAGTGCCACAGCCAGGCCCCCAAGAGGAAAACACGCAAGGAGCCTCTGGAGCTCACCAGGCTCCTCCCCTTGAAGTTTGTTAAGATCTCCGTTCACGACAGTGAGAAGAAGCAGCTTCGCCTGAAGTTCACCACGGGCTGCTCTTTGTACCTGCAGCTGTGTCCCCCCCTGGATGCGTGCGAAGACCTCTTCACCTACTGGGAGAGCCTCATTCACCTCCTGCAGTCGCCCTTTGAAAGTATCAGCGGCACCTACGCCACCCCGGCCGAGGACATTCCCTGCCTGCTTGAGCTGGCCAACGCTGACAGGGCCAGCCTGGCCGCCTCGGACGCCCACGGCAGAGACGCCTGGGACCAGGTCAGCATCCGGAGTGTCCGCTTGGACCCCGAGCTGACCGGGGCCACCTCGGACGACAACGGCAGAGACGCCTGGGACCAGGTCAGCATCCGGAGTGTCCACTCGGACCCCGAGCTGACCGGGGACACCTCGGACGACAAAGGCAGAGACGCCTGGGACCAGGTCAGCATCCGGAGTGTCCACTCGGACCCCGAGCTGACCGGGGACACCTCTGCTGCTTATTCCAGTGGGGAGGGAGACCAGCCCAGCTCTCGTACATCCACCGCCATTCCCAGAGTATGCACCCCAGAAATAAGATCTGCGGGGTCTGCCGAAGCGTCAGCACGAGGGACAAAAAGAGAGGCGGCAGCAGCTGGGGTGGCATCAGGTATGCCAAGTGTGGATTCTGGCCAGGTGAACACAGCCCTGGCCGAGGCCACCTTTATAGGGGTAGGAGGAAGCAAAAGCCCCATGGCAGGCCCTGGGGGTGCAGAGGCCAGACAGCAGGGCGTCCCCCAGGCCAGCAAGGCCTCCCGCAAAAAGCACAGGGAAAGGAAGGAGAGGAGTGAGGACAGACCCCTCAGTAGGAGTTCCTACCACCGCAGGACACACGAAGGTCGCCACAAGACAGAGGGGGACAAGATGGCTCAGAAGTCGTCCAGCCGGTCCTTATTGGGCCACAGGACACACAGAGTCAATAAAAATGAAGAAGGTGGCCACCTCAGAGCCAAGAGCAGCAGCCAGGGCCACAGCCCCAAAGGCATCAGCCACACCCCTCTTGAGAAGGAGTCCAGGAGCTCAAACAAATTCAGGAGGAGCTTGTTCAGCTCTTTCCTGAGGAACATCAGGGCCAAGCTCGGCATGAAGGGGGCAGCCTCACTGCATGGTGGCGACGGGGACATGGTGCCCAAGAGGGTGGAAGAGACCAACCTGGAGGTCATGGTGGAGATGGCAGAGTTTGGTCAGGGAGTAGAAGTTGGTTCTGTGACATCTGAGGTCATGAAGACCTCAGAAGACCTCTTTAGAAGCCCATGAAACAACACCCAGAGCCAGAAGCCCCAAAGGGCCCCAGGAGCACCCCAACAAACCCCACTCTAGCTTTCTTACTTCGGGTGAAATAAAGAGCTATTCAATCTGAGAACCGTTTGCCAGGGTCTGTCTGAGCGTGAGTCCATCAGCTCAGTGGCGACCTCACAGAGGACTCTGTGACATCAACTGCACTGCAGGCTGAGGCCTCCAGATCCAGTCAGGGGGACCCCTCACCCCTGCTCAGCAGAACTGAGGTGACTGCTCCTCTTGCCTGGAACCTTCCTGGCTTTGGTGACCCTGGGCTCTGGCTGGGAGGCACGGTTCTACCTCCATGGTTTCCCACCCTTTTGATAAAATTTTCTGGAGAACAGGGCCACTTAGAGGTCAGGAAGGGGAGCAGCAGCAGCGCTGGCAATCAGAACAGGGAGGTCACAGTCTGACTGAGCCACTCCACTCCTCGGCATACACCTCGGAGAAACACACACACACACACACACACACACAGGCATGTCCTAGGGGATGGGTGTGAGAATGTTTACAGCAAAACACTGGAGACAGACCAGTTCCTATCTCAGAGCCGACATGACAGAGAGGTTCGGAGAGGTGCTCACGGGGAGGAGTGAGGGGCAGTGACACGCTCACAGAGATACAGGTGCGCATCATAATATATCACAGGATATAATTCCACGAGGCCAAATACCATATTGCATACATGTTTGGTAAACCTGGAGTCAAAAACCAAGGCGTGGCGAGTACTGGATTCGGACCAGTGGCTTTCTCTAAGGTGGAGAAGCCAGTGGTGGGAACAAGGAGGTGGCAGCAAAACACCTGGTGGCGTTGGGAATTCATTTCTTAAGCAAGGAGGCGGGGCCGAGTGTTTATTATTGTTTCACCATTGCACACTCTCACATCGCTGAAATCAGCCTGGCCCTACAGCCATGGTGACAGATGTGAGGAAGTCGCTGTTGCCCCAGACAGGCCTTACCCGATCCCTTTCCCTTCTGTGTGTGCACAAAGTGACAGGGAAGCCCCCTTTGTTAAGGCTCAAATTTTAAATGACGCGTCCACACAGCCATAGTTGGCTACTAGGACAGGAAGGGATGGGCACCCTACTTTACAGATGAGGACACTGGGGCTCAAGATGGTACCTGGCCCTGGCCCTGTGGGGCCTTTGCAAAGCATTGTTACGCACCCCACTTCTTACAGTCTGGGGCTTGGAGCGAAGGCAAAGTGAACAGGTGCAGAGAGACAGCAGCGCCAGAAACTTCGATCTCTCCAGAGCCGAGCACTGGATTTGCTGAATTCAGATTGGGGAAAGACGGGCAGGGAGACTCCTGAGCCCCTGGCAGCTGGGGCCCGGGTCTTAGGGAGCCTGGTTTCCCTCCAGGTGTGCCTGCCTATTACACACCACAGCTGGAAATATTCCTCCTCCTGCTGGAGTTTGGGGCTCCACTGGCACTGGGTTGCTCCTGACCAGACTCCAAAGCCCAGTCTTCCCAGCCACTAATTACATGCTGGAAAAGTCAGGACCAGAAGTCTTTCTTTCTCTTTTTTTTTTTTTTTTTTTTGGTACTGGGGATTGAACTCTGGTCCTTGTGCTTGGGCAGCAGGTGGCAAAACCACAGAGCTAACTCCCCGGCCCCAGTCTTTCCTTCTCTATGCCAGACCTGCAGGAACTTTCTTCTGAAGTCCCCACAACAAATCCACCTTATTCCGCATGCTTATTCCTAAAGGTATTGTGGGGGGAAGGCACAGACTTCAGGGAGCCAGTGAGGAGAGGGCTCTTCTGTCCCTTGAGGGAATGGCAGGCACTGGGTGGCTGCTCTGTGGAGAAAGGACCAGGGCCCACAGAGTACCCACATCCACATCTCCCATAAATCAAAGTTCCTGACCCCAGGATGAGGAATTACTGGAGTGAGTCAAGTTTTTCTTAAGAAAGGAGGGAACATGCCAGAGATGAGATACAAATCAGCCCTGGGAGGAAAACAACCTCGGAATCATTAACCCAGAGGTCCAGGGCAGGAGGCGGGGTGTCAGGGAGGTGAATTCCCCTTTGGAAGGTGGGGAAATTACAGAAGGATCACACTGCATTCCTCCAATCTGAGATTTCCACACAGGCAAGTGTGGGTAATACCTTCGTCACCTGTAGGGTTCTTGAATGTCCCTGCTCTCTTCCAGCGCGCACGCCACTCCAGTCAGCTGGTCAGCAAACTGGGGTTCTGCACACCCGGCACTCCAGCGTACGCCTGTCATGCAGCACCCACTGTGCGCTAGCCCTGGGTCCCCCACAGTTCTACAGACCCAGTGGAGGAGACAGGGCAGGGGTGTGGGCAGTATTACAATGCTTGGGTGCAGACGCAAGGAGAGATGCATGCTGGGGAAGAGGAGCCATGCACAGGAGGGGTTCCAGGTATGGGCTGGAGTCTCGGGTCAGAAAAAGCTTCACAGAGGAACTGGGGGTTCTGAAAAATGAATAGGGTCAGGGACAGGGGTGAGGGAAAGGCTGGAGGAGGTACCCAGAGACATGGGGAGAGGGGATCAGGCTGAAGACAGCTGAAGGCCGGTGTTTAATTATCCTGGTGGCTCCTGCATCTGCATTTACACCCCCGGACCCCCGCCTACCCTCCTCAGCTTCCGCTCTCCTTCAGATGTGAAGTAAGATCAACCAAGTGACTTATGGTAAATACACATTCGTCTTTTTATTAAAGTATCAAAACATAAACCTGGATACAGAAAACAACTAACTTAAATGCATTTGTTGAAAGAACTCATGGTCACACTAACCACACAGTGCACTTCTCAGGTCAGGTGTTCTCGCCATTGCCAATTCTCCCTTCCCCTAATCCCCTGCTGTCCGTGGCAGTTTACGGTGGTGTTGAGTCTCACAGCGGCTGGCACAGGCAACTCTACCCGTGGCCAGAGGGTCGACGCAGGGTGTATTAGCCTTCCTGACACGGAGACACAATACCCAACACCCACGACTTAAAGGAGTTTACTTTGGTTCCTGGTTTTAAGGGATTCAGTCCATGGTTGGCTAGCTCTAAAGGAGAAACATCATAGTGGAAGGGCATGGCAGGACACAGATGTTCAGCGGATGGCAGTGGGGCAGCAGAGCAGGGGAACAGTGCAGAGGCAGGGGCCTGGGATCAGGTAGAGTCCCTAATTTCACACCTTCGTGACCCACTCAGAAGTGTGCTTTCCTAATCCCCTGGGTGGCTCCCAAGCCAATCAAACTGACATAGTCAAGCTTAACCAGAAGGAGACTTTCCCTTCCACCCAGATAAGACACACAGATTACATATGAAAGAACGGGGAATGGTGGTAGCATGGGGTGACTCTCTACAGAGGAACAGCCCCCATGGGCAATTCAAACAGCAAAATTAGTAAGCCTGCATCATACGTGGTCAATGAAAGGAACTATCCATGAGTTCAGAGAAGCAGGCACACCGTTAGGTGTCTGAATTCCTTTTACAAAAGGAAAATGAGACAATTACCAAGGACTAAGGACATAATCAAAATAACATAACCATTTTACTGTTGAATAGGAAATCTTTCTCCAAACACTATGGCATATTATTGCAAAATAAATGATATTTACCATGAGGGGATTCTACTGAAAACTGTGTCATAGAAAGTTAAAAGACTTTTTTCTCTTAATTCAAATGTGTACCTACAGCATTGCTGCTGGTTATTTATTTAATGAATAAGAAGGAGGTATATTTATCTATAATAAAGCAATCCAATTATACCAACAAGGTATTTCTCCATACAGGGATTGATCAGGAAAGTCAATTGATTAAAGAAAAATAATTAGAGAAGAGAATAACTTAAAAACCAAGGTCCTTCTGCAAAGCAGCTCTACCCCTTAGCTGCCTGCAGACTCATACCTTTATTTATTTGACCATCTGAGCCCTCAGATGGCTTTATGGCTGTTCATATACTCATAGTTTAGGATTCTTTAGGAGTACAAAGAAGGGCTGGTGGAGCCCCAAACCTGAGCCCCTGGAAGATGTCAATTTCAGGGAGTTTTTAGGTATTCAGATTGGCCAGGGTCTTATAATAGATTTTCTTTTCCTTCTAAACCAACAAAAACATCTCCAGCAGAAGGGAGAAGACTAAGACACTCTTAGGTCAATTCTGTAAACATTTTCTGAGCACCCATTGTGTGCCCAGCACTGTGCTGACTGTATGGAAATTCCAGATCAAGGATTCGAGCATAGGGGGACACAGATCATGTTCCAACACACATGCAGCACTTGATATCTAGCAAAGGAAGAAGTGATGGAAGAAGACAGCATTGTAAACGGAAAGAATGAACAGAGAGACATCAAACAGTAATCCTGCAGAAAACATTGAGGGAGTTAATAACTGGTTGAGTGGCAAAATGAAAGAGAAGGGAAATTGGATGAGGGTCCCCAATGGTTTCTAACATGGGGACCCATACACCAGGAGTGCTGTGGATCCAAACAGTGAATTTGGAGAAAGTCAAGGATGACTTAGTTCACAGAAGTAGGAGGACATTCCAGCACAGACAGGTAGCCTACCTCCTCTCAGATTGGACCAGTACAGAGCTAGCCCAGAATAGCTAGAATGGAGCCCCCAGACAGCTCCAAAGGGAAGTTCATGTTATAGAAACAGATTCTCATATTTGAGGGTTATATTAAAGGCCTTTATATCAACCATCCATATGATCTGTTAATTTATAATGATCTTCTTCATATGGGTCTCAAATTTATCTATCACTCCGAATAAAATTTCCAGAACTTTACATTTACATCTTTTTTAAATCTATTTGTCCATGATACCTTAAAATACATGTTCTTCAGTGTCTCTCTCTTCATCCAATTTTGCTATCTCCTTCCTCAATAGAAACAGCTAGTGGTCATTTGCTTTGCTTTCCTGAAACTTGACAAATTGGCTTTCTTTCTCATTTAGAAGGAACAAGGAATCCAGTACACAGGAAGAGAAGCCATGGGCTTGGGTTTAACAAAACTGTATCAGTTGTTCCTAGTCCCACTTCCCGGAGTCCTATGATTCTCCAGATGTCTGTGCACTGATTAACAGAATCTGGCCATCTCCCCTAGGAACCTGGACTCCAGGAATCACAGG